AGTTAAAGGATTCTCATTAAAATTTATTGAAGTAAAAATTCTTTTTTTTATTAAAAAATCAATTTTTTTGTGTTTATACAAAAACTACCCGAATAACTACCATTTAAACCCTTAGAAAATCTTTTTTCTCTTGCAAAATTACATATATTTTTGCTATTAAAACTATATATTTGTCCAAACTTTTAAAAGGATCTCAAAAAAAGTTCATTTTTTAACGTAAACTTCTTGTATATGCAAAGAGAAAAAAAAAATTTCAAAAATGGAAAATTAACTTCAGAGACTAGTAAAGCACATAATGTTCTATCAAATTACTTAATTTGTATAGGAGTTACATATTAAAATTGACAGTTTATCATAAAATGAAGTGACTCAAATATGGTTACATGAATTTTTTTAATATGAAAATGATTTGCATATTACATGCGCGGTGATTGATATTGTTTTTTTCTATCATCATTTCATCCTACATTGTTTTTTCTATTACCATTTCATCCTATATATCACAATTTCATTCTATATTGCTTTTTCATCATCATTTCATCCCATACTGTTCTTTTTATTGCTATTTCATCTCCTATTGTTCTTTTTCAATTACCATTTCATACTATTATTTCTTATTACTTTTTTTGTTCTTTATTGTTCTTTCTTATTTCTTATTACTCATTTTGTCCATTATTCATTTAACTGAGGTGTTCTCAAAAATTAAAGATGTACACATTTTTTAGTCATGTAAAATTACATAAAGTTAAATAATAATTAAATTATTAGTTACATTAATACATATCCGCCGATCCTCGGAATTAGTCAAAAATTAAAAAAAAAAAAAAATTTTTTTTTTAAAATTATTTTTGTTACTCAAGTTTCACAATATTGCAAACGTCATATTATGCATAATTACAAAAAAAAAAACTTATAAAAAACCGCGATAATAAATATACTTTCTTCTGTTACTCCCCATCAACTTTCCCATCACTTTTCAAGTTACCAAACCAAGAGTTTGCACTTTTTTATTATTTAATCCGTTAATTAATAAAGAAACAAAAATTTTAAGCAAGAATATTAATTTTAACATCTGTAATATTTGTAAAAAAGAAATTCGGGTAATTAATGGGATAAAAAGGATTGTTTTTATATAAAAAACGGTTCTAAGAGATATGCACCTTTATTTTGAGCGTAAAGAATATAGTTAATTTTTTTTATTGTAAAAGTAGGAAAATGTGCAATTTTATATGTATATTATTGTTAACCGTAATATTACACATGTAATTAATACATTTACTAAATAAAGCGTACAGATTATAGATTTATTAAAGAACAAAGATATTTTTATTGGGAAAATAAAATTAGAAGTGTACAAAAAAGTCATAATTTTATTAATTATGACATATATTTCGGTAAGCATTTATAATTAATATATTTGTTATATCAATATATCGTTAATAATTTTTTTTCTTTTAAACGAACTTATTATCAACGTCATGTGGATTTTGATGTCTGTGTATCATTAAAGCTTTGGTGGAACTCTAATCAATAGAATGGGCATCCTTAAAATAGTAAATTAAAAGAAAAACTTTCCATCTACCTAAAGTCCTGGACTCTAGCACCTACAAATAATAGAATATTTTAATTATGCCATTATTAGTAAATAAAAAAAAATCAAATAAAAAATGAGAAACTCAAGCTAGTGAAAATTTAACTTTGATATACAATATATACCAGAGGGGGCGGATATAAATTTTTTCTTTTAGGAAAATCTCTTTGGCGATTTCTTGGAACGTACTTGCATGAGTGAGTTTCGGAGGTGGTTTTAAAGTTCTTTATAGAATATGACTAATCAAAATTTTCTTTTAGTTTAGGGCTGTCTTTTTGATCTTGGAAACAAATTATAAAGAAATGGGATAAAGACAAGAATGGAAAATAGTGAGGATGAGAAGGAATGTGGAAATAAAGATGATGATGAGAAACGACAAAATACATTATAATTAATTTAATTACAATTCTTATCTCCACAAAATTTAGATGAGAAAGTTTACTGCAACTTACTTTTTTCATTAGTTTCTAAACACCAAAATTCTCTAATTTTTTTAAATTTGCTAAAATTCGCTATATTCAAAATAATTAATATCTTTATCTTCAAAAGAAAAAGAAAAGATTAATAAGTTTCAAAAGCAAAAAAATAATAATAAAAAATAATAAAATCATAAAAAAGAAAGACCTACATCAGCAAAGCTTTCGTAAAGACATAAAGTATTTTAAATTTGAAGTTTTATTGTATTAGGAATGTTATGAGAATCATTACAAATGTAATAAAGTTTCCTATTTTCAAATTCAAGGATTTGAAGTATAGCTGATTTTCTGTTTATACCGTTACCTCCATCTCTTAAAGTTTTGCGAAAAAACTGAGTTACTTGTTGATGGTTTTTATTCTCAACTGGTGCACATGAGAAAGATTTCAATCCCCACTTTTTATGTTTTTCAATAAATTCGTGAATGTGAAAAACAAGAACGTGCATGTAAGGAGTGACATCGTTTGGTCTATATAAACCTTGGACAAAATTGTCACTATTAGGTATTCCAGTAGAAGGTGTAAGAAAAATTTTTAACCACATTTTTGCATCTCTTTTAAATATTTTAGGATCAGTGTTTGGATCCCGTATGGCAGTATATAGGTCAAAAAATCCATTCCATAAATTTCTTATTACATTTGCACGTATTGGTGGTAAAACTTTATTAAGATCAAAAAATTGCAATACTTTTAACTTGTCTTAGCCCATAAGTGAAGTGAAACTCCAAGATTGACATTCTTTTTCCTGCCAAAAATGAAAATTTACTTTGATTCTATTCATTTCTTTAACTATAATTTCTCTAGCAACATCGTTAAAGTAACCAGTTTCTTCAATTTCATGCAATAATAAACTCCAAAGTCTATCAGTTATACGTAACATAATGTAGAGCTTATCAGGGATCCAATTTTCTAACGATATCATATTAAATAATGGTGTTGAATGATGACCATTATATTTGTTTATATTGTCTATTTGCTTTGATATTAGCCATTCTTTTTTGATATCTGATATTTCTTTTTTGGTTATTGTACATCACGGGCAAAAAAATAAGCTATTTGCTGAATTAAAACCTAAGCAAATTGTAAGAAATTTCCAGTCTGAGCTAAAATACATGTTAATCGTCCAATTAACTCCATTAATGTTTATTCCTATTTCTTTCAATTCTTGTAATTCTTCTCGAAATGAAATTGTTAATATATCTAAGGATTCATAATTTTCTAAACCAGGGTACAATACTACTGTATAGTGATAATTAGGATTATGTATATTTTCAATGTCTTCTAAGATCACAAAAGTGATCATAACATGTTTTACTTTTTTTCCAACATTTCTACCATCTCCAGAGATTCTTATGCTAATAATTGGTTCGTGAAGATTAAGAACACCTCTCTTTATTAAGTTTGGTACTATAAATTTTAATACATCTTTTATACTTCTTTTACCACCTTTTCCAACTGACGTTGTTACTTCTTCAATAACCTCTGGATCAAAAATGTCATAACTTTCATTTGAATTTATATCCATATGTTGTGGCATTATAACTGTGTTTATCTTAATTCTATCATTCATCCGTATATTAATTTGTGTTCGTTTCTCAGCAATTGTCCATTCACGTGGTAATTCATCTTCAATTGTAGTTAATTTTCTGTAGGCATCTCGAGAAATTTGTCCATTATCAACCACCATCACCATTGCTTCATTCTTACATTCTTTTGTTATCAAATTTTCATTTACATTTACCTTAAATTTATAATTATTCACAGAAAATTGAACTTTTTCCAAAATAGGTTTATCTACAGGATTGTAATGATTTTTTGATATATTTGTAAAATCATCAAGCACTTGCTTGGTCATAGATTTAGCTCGTTTAGTAAGAGTTGAATGGGAAGCTTCATTTACTGGTTTTAAAATACGTTTTTTATGTGGTTTAATTCGATATTGATGTATAGATTCTAAATGAAGCCCAAACAGAAGTACTCCTGAGGTTCGTGTATTAACTCCTTGATTGATTTGCTTTAAAATTGTGCAAAAAGATTATTTAATAATTAAATTAAAACTAGATAGTGAATAAATAATAAAATAATATATTTACGTTATGAAATAATGTAGTCGCATCTGAAGGAGATTTACTTGAAACAACTTGATTGGAAAAATTATTACCAAATTTTACTACATATGTAGGTTTATCATTAACATAATTTATTGAACATTGAACTGTACAAGTATTTCGATTTCAAGTTGTTTGAATTACATAACCATGTGGAATTGAGTATGAAGTAGGTTTTTTGATATAACATAATATATCTTTGGGGTATATGCCTGCCCTTATTACTTTATAATAAAAAGTACATTTATTATATTTCCATACTATATTTGAATTTTCAGGATAATTAGAAATTTCTTTTCCGTTCATTTTTTTGAAAAGATAATCAGTTTAAAAAATAATAAACAAAAAAAATTATCATATCAAATTAGTTTGTATTGCGTATTACAAGTCATCTCAATTAAAAATAAACAAACCGGATTTTTGAACAGACCAGATATAGTAATAAAAATATCACTTGCCAAATAAGTAATAATATGCATGACTATCATGACTATTAAAAGTAATAGCTATTTTTATAAATTTTTATTTTAAACATATTTATTTTGTAGAGGGACTAGGGAGCAGTAATCCCGCAACCAGAATAAAAATAGTTTACTATTTTTAACATCGTCTCAAAATTAATTTGTTATGCATTAACTTTGTAAAAAATAAAAAATAAAAAGTTCTAAGTCTTTGGAGAAGACCTATTTACTGTAACAAAAATTTATTTTATATTTATTAAAATATTTAAAATATTATGTTTTTAAAATTTTTTCTTTTAAAATACAGTACTTTAGTTAATTAATTTTACTATATATTTAATATTTTTTTTTTGACACAATATTATAATATAAATTGAAACACAAAATAAAGTGTCTTTGGCATTTTTTTTAAATAATAAATAAAAAATAATATTTTTAAAACTTTAATATAAATATTTATATATTTTATTTTATAAAATTGCATATTAAAAACTATAAATAATTAGTAAAACATTAAAAAAAAGTATATTAATAACATAAAATTTTTATATACATAAGCTTCTTCATTCTGCTTGCAATTGAGTAAAAAACGCGAAAAAAGTTAAGTTTGAACAAAAAAAAATACAAGTTCAAACTTGAAAAAAAACATTTTCAAATCCTGGTACATCAGGCTATAAATATATGGTAAAAATATTAAACTATTTTTATCATGGGTGCGGGATTACTGCTCATTTTTTGGATTCTATTTTTTTTCATTAAGCGGTCTTTTATTCTTTTATTCAAAGAAATATTATGAATAGACGTTGGTATAAAGTGGAGGCTTCAGGTGTCCTTTTTTTTTTGTTTAAGAATGTTTACTAATGTTCTTTACTTTCTTTTTTTTTGTAGATTTTGGCCTTGGGAGACTTTAGTCTCGTGAAAATATAAAGGTATATTTGGATGCGGGGTTTTTAGAAACATTTTTAATCATGTTCCTTTATTTTTAAAAAATGGATTTTGCGTCAAATAGATTGAAACATTATGATTGGATGGAATGTTTTGCTGCAAAATCATTAACACGTATCATCAGTCATCACCAATTTAAACACTAGAATAAGTGTTTAAAAATCTCAATGAATTTTATAAATCACATTTTTTTTAAGTATGTATACTTTTATCGCAATCTATGATCAGGTCTGCTTTCATTGGAGATGATGATCGCTATGTACCTTTCTGTGAGATATGATAAAAGTACGTGATTTGAGTGTGGTGATACTACTTACCCTTAGCTGTTAGATAGCTCAAATGAGTTCTAACAGGTCACACATATACTTGCAATTTTATTTCTTATTTTTCTATTCTCCTTACTATCCTACTATTTATTATGATGTAATTTAGTTTTTATATTCTATATATTTTTTTATTAATTTGAAAACTAGATAATGTATGCTTGTTTTGTGAAAAAATGAAAATAAATGAACCCAGCACTACATATATTACCCATTGCATCTTTATCACGTTTACGTTTCCATTCAATTACTATCTCTCCATATTTGTATTTGCTAAATGACTTCTTTGGTTTCACTGCAGAACTGGCCTTTTTGATGGTAGCTAATGCTAAAGGATTAGTTTCAGTTTTTTGATGTAATATGTGATTATCTGTTAAAACGACAAAGGTCATCTGATTCTGATTGTAATATTTTATTCCCCAGTCTGTATTCCCAAATATTTGATTTAACTTCTCCTCTCCTTCTTTTCCACGAAATCAACATTTATAAACACCAGATTTCTTGGAGTAAAAGTGTATATGATTTTCAAAAATTGCATGAAATTGACTTTCACTGCATGGTATTGAAACCATTTTCTTCCCAGCATTTTTGAAACCATTTGGTAGTCGACGATGGATAAAGTAAATTAAGTCATTTTTAAACAATTCTGTAAGACTTGTTGGCACTACTGGCAATCCCTCTCGAAGGGTATTATATTTTCGAATAACAGTATTATGACGCATTAAGCCAGCTTTATTTTTAAAAATTTTTTTACATACACTACACTTGTGCTCGTTTGTATTTGTGGATGGAGGCGTAGTTGGAGGTGAAAGAGTTTGCATCTTGCCACTGCGTTAACTATTATAGTTCCTTTTTAATAATAATACAGAATTTTAATTAAGAACTGCAGATTAACTGACGCAAAACTTTAACAAGACAGAATTATTTAAACGTGATATTACGTAATGATCATCAATTTGTCACATGTTTTCATGGTTCAGAAATAAGGACGCATCAAAAGTTTATAGCAATCATATTCATAAAGTAAAACCCAAATAAGTTGAAAAAGTTTCAATTATGGAAGCTTACCGAGGTAGGATTTTCTTTTTTATTTACCATTATTATTGCTTTTGAAACCTATTAATCAATTCTTTTCTTTTTCTTCTTTTTTTACTATTTTATTTTATCTTTGTTTTTTTTATTCTTTTCGTTCTCAATCCTTCTTATCATCATCTTTCCCTCTCATCATCATCTTTATTTTCTCATTCCTTTCTTGTCTTTATTCTGTATTTCTTTATTATTTATTTTTCAAATCAAAAAAAAAAAAATAAAAAAAAAAAAATTTGATTATAACATTCTATAAAGATAAAAAAAATCTCTGAAACTAACCCATGCAAGTACATTCCAAGAAATCACCAGAGAGAATTTTCTTAAAGGAAAAGAGAATTTATATATACCCACCAAGAAATTAAATTTTCGCTATCTTCCATGGGGGGGTTTCTCAAATTTTTTTTCTTTGGCTCTTCTTCAGTAAACAGCTGCATAACTCTTTGCTGTTTGTTAATTACAAGAGATGTTTCTTCTACTTGTAGGTGCTAGAGTTGCTTTACAATCAGGACTTTAGGTAAGTAATGGAGAAGGAAAAGTTTTTTTAATTTATTAATGTTTTTTATTATATTTTAAGGACGCCCATTCTATTGATAAGAGCTCTTCCAATAGTTTCAACAATACGTAAACATCAAATCCACATGACGTTAGGTATAAGATCGATACCACTCTTTAAAAGGGGTAAGAACTTTTGAAAGAAGGATTTTGTTGGCTCCATTTCCATAATTAAACTAACTAGTCATCCATCATCTTCATTACTATCGTACTTTCTTTATCATTTATTCAGATTGCATTACACGTCATAATTACAAAAAAAAATTTTGTGTCACTTATCAGTCCAATCAAAAATAAATAAACTAGATTTTGAACAAGCCAAATATGGTGTAACAAACAGATTATAATTTGGCAACACTAGGGGTTTTTGCAGTGCTTTTGTGCATGTTTCCACTATGTCTACTTTTGAAGAAAACTTAGATGATATTATACTGAATCTCTCATCAAATTTTTAAGAAACAACAATATCCAAATTAAAGAAGAATATTTTGATATTCTTCGCGATCAAGAAATAACCGGTAGTACCTTTTTCAAAATAACAGAAGAAACATATCGAAGTTATGGGTTGAAAGGAGAACCAGCGAAGATTTTCGTAGAGTTTGCTAAAGATTTTATGGAAAAAAAGAAAAGACCGTTTTCTTCGTACAAGACTTTAACAGACTTAAAGAGTGTCCTAAATAAGTTTAATATTTATGGTAGCAGTTTATCCGCTGTTCCTCAATTCACACCGTCTTCCTTATCACTCGCCGATGACGACGATGAATTGCAACAATGTATGAATGATATAAAACGTAAGTTGCGCAACTTGGAAACTTTAATTCCTAATAGTAACGAGGCAACGCGTAATGATTATATTTTGGCAATTCTTCACGCTGCAATTCATATTGCCAGGAGAGAAACTGATAAAGAAATTAGTTTGCTTCCTCAACTTCAAATCATGGGTGATGAAAATTGTGGTCGTGTTGATTATGCAATAAATATCACTTGAGGAACTGATTTGTATTACTGAAAGCAAGCAATACTTGGTTAATATAGGTTTCGTTCAAAATGTTATTCAATGTGAGAGTGCTCTACAAACTAACAGGAAAAAACATAAGGCAGGTGTTGCTCTTGGGATTACATTAAAGCATGGCGGTTACATATAGAATACAGAAAAAAAATTTTTGGTTTTAATTTGACAAACGTTACTATCTGTTCGTTGTTTTTTAGGTGGTTTTTTAAGTTTCTGGATAGAGAAGCCGTCAAGTAAAAAAAAAATTATTTTCTTTCTTTTATTTAGTTTTAACGATCATTTATACTAATTGTTCGTTTCTCTTTTTCTTTAGACGCGAGAAATCTTGGTGAGAAATTGACAATCTTGGATACGCGAATTTCAAGAGGCAATTCACGCATTAAGGTGTAGTGATACTCAAAATCATCCTAACAGATCACACACATACTTGCAATTCTTTTTTCTTTCTTATTTTTCTATTCTCTTTATTGATGTAATTGAGTTTTTATTCTAAAGATCTATGTATTTGAAAACTAGACAACGTATACTTGTTTGTGCCCAGCACCAAATATATTACCCATCGCATCTTTATCACGTTTATGTTTACATTCAATTACCATCTCTCCATATTTGTATTTGCTAAATGACTTCTTTGGTTTCACTGTAGAATTAGCCTTTTGGATGGTAGATAATGCTAAAGGATTAGTTTCAACATGTGATTGTCTGTTAAGAAACAAAGGTTATCTGGTTCTGATTGTAATATTTTACCTTGCAAATTTCTAGCATCTTGTACTCTCTTATAATAATAATAAAAAACGTGCAATGATCCCAAATAATTATTTCCAGTTTTCTTTAAATTGTCTATTTGTCAATATCTTTGAGGTTAAGGCATTCTAAAAGAATGGTCGTGATTGTTTGTACAATACGGAAAAGGTTTTTATGTTTCTACTATTAAAAATTGTGGAAAGATTATGTGAAAGACAAGCTTATCCCTATAGGAAAAAATAATCATATTGGTTAAAATGCCAAAAGACCCACCACATTATTTACCAATACGTTGTCATTAATAAAAAAGATGTAAGACAATCTTAATGTAGTTCAAACAGAAAAAAATTCAAAAGGTCTCACAATTTGTTTTCAAGTCGTCTTTTTAATTTTTATGAGGAAGGAAGTAACCCTTTTAAAAAAAAAATATTATTTTCGTTCAAAACAGTAAAAGAGAACAAAAAGAAACGGTAATTTAAGAAATAAAATAATGTTAATGTCATCCATATAGCAAAAAAACGCTAAAAAATATATCAACATTATCAAGGCCAGAGAAAACTAGGAGAGATCTGGTACAAGACGATATTTTATAATATGCAGCATATCTGCCGATTTTGCCAATCATCAATTATGTGGTGCAGTACTGATTAAAATTGATCAAAACCTGTTCTTACGTAAGAAAAAATGTCAAAAATATATAAAAAAAACTTTTAAGGTCTCTCCCAAACTATTTACTTCTTTAACCCGAAGCCAGTAGAAGGAGTTTCTAGAAAAAAAGGGAAAAAAATATTATAAAGTTAGTTTATAGAAAAACTTTACAAAAATCCAGAATATTTAATGATTTAACAAAAAAAAATTAACTGAAAAATAATTAATAATAAATATCAAATAGATTATAATTAAACAACTAATCAATACATAATTTAATTTTACTAAATTATCATTATTAATATTTAGAGTTATTTATTTATTGAAATTTTTTTTATAAACTATAAAAAAAAAAATAAAAAAAACAGTTCCAAGTTGTGTCTAATGTAAAATAATTACTAATATACTTGCAAAATTTCTCAACTTATTTGATGTAAAAACGGTTGAAAAGTTGATGGGGGAGTTGATGGGGAGTTTAATAGGGAGTTTATGAAAGAAAAAAATTTTTTTAACGCAACTTTTTGTTGAAGTAATTTCTTAATATCTGTCATATGATCATGTAGCACAAGTGTGATCATTTTTGTGAAACTTAATTACCTAATTTTTAATAAATTATTGTCAAATTCCTTAATTTAGACGAATTTTGTTAATTTCGCAGATCGGTGGATATGACTATTGGTTAATTATAATCATGTGATACTGGTACTGATCCAGTGGTGATAAACAGTAAACTTCTATAAATAAATGATAAAATACTAAATTAAATATTAAATTTGATATAATAAATTTGTCTATTGTTATTTTTTCTAAAAAAAAAATCTAAAAATAGTTATTTTAATTTGATTAATTAGTGATACATACCAATTGGACATTAATTAAAATAAAAATAATAATTGACAACAGAAATTTATATATATATAGTATAACACTCATCAGTCTCATTACTAACTGAAAATATCATACTATTTCATTAAATTTAAAAATGTCTTTAAGTTACAAGTCTTCAAGTTATAAGTGTTCACATTGTTCACGTACCTTCACGATCCCATATGCATTAAAATGACATATTTCTAATAAACATTGATATAAAATTGATGAGAATGAAAGATCAACAACCCAAATGGAAATAGTTGAGAAACCTGGACTTTGGGACGAAAATGTTTCAATGAAATATTCTGAGGTAACAATAATATGATATTGATTATTATTATTATAGCAGTGAAAATAATTAAAATGAATAATTTTTTGATACCAATAATTAATAACAAACAGGATGAAGAAACAGAAGAAAAAACAGAAAAAACAGAAGAAGAAACTGAAGAAATTGAAGAAGAAACTGAAGAAACTGAAGAAGAAACTGAAGAAATAGAAGAAGAAACTGAAGAAATTGAAGAAGAAACTGAATCAATAATATTAGAACAAAATGTGGAATCTTCTGATGCTTTATCTTCTTCAGATGATGTCCCAAAAAAGGATGAGAGAAATGAAAATGTTGATAGTGAAGGAGAGGAAGAAACTGATATTAATCTAACATTTCCAATATCTATTGACAATGAAGATTATTGTGGAATCACACTGGATGATGCCATAAAAGATAAAAATTATCCACTAAATACCAATTGGCCAAATGATATTTATCGAGAATTTATGGAAATTGTTACAGAATATCAACTATCAAATTCATGCGGTGATAGATTAATTAAATTAGTTAATTCAATCAACAATATTGACAAAAATCTATTACCAAAAACCACTAAAGAGGGACGAAGATTCATTGATGATAGTGAATTTCCTTATATAAAATTCAAAACAGTTCCTATTACTAATTTTCAGGATGTTGAATACTTTTTTCATTACCAACCAATAATTAATGAAATCAAAACTTTACTTTTACAATCTGACATTAATAAAGAATTTGTTTTTCAATATCAGAATAATACTGTTAAAACAGCATATGGTGAGCAATTTGAAGTGATTGGTGGCATATCACAGAAAAAAATATTCCTATTGATAATTATTTATTATCAATAATAATTTATGCTGATTCTACCACCTGCGATCATCTTGGAAAGACTTCAGAATATCCAATATATATTTCACTTAGAAATATTTCACATTAGTTGCGAAATAAACCTGAGGCTAAAGTGCTTGTTGGATATCTCCCAAAATTAAAAGCTAAAGATAATAATATAAGAAATTCTAAATCATTTAGAAAATTACAGAGACAAGTGTTCCAGAGATACCTTCGAATATTATTATCACCAATTTTAAACCAAAATGACATGTATTTTACTGTAAAAAATGAAATAAATCCATTTACACCAAAGAAGTTATCCTAGCTGATATGGTAGAAGCTGAAGCATTTACTGCAATATATCTCCCATCAACTTCCAAAAGGCCTTGTTATTGTTGCTTGATACATAATAAAGATCTTAATAATATGGAATTGTCCAATATTATTTTAAGAACTCCAGAGAATATGAGAGAAATTATCGATAAAGAACAAGCATTTTCAGTTCATGAAGAATTTAATTATTTTTGGAAATTCAAAAATTTTAATATTTATGAAGCAACAGTTTCGGATCGAATGCATTTATTAGATCTTGGAATAACAAAATATCTCCTGGAGTTTACTCATGAATATTTACAACGAAAGATTAGTATTGAGACTGTTAAGGAAATGGATCACTGACTTTGTGCAATTCCTCGATACCAAGGATTAATAATTATGAAAAATGGATTGGAAAATGTGTCCAAATTTACTGCTAATGATTAAAATATAATGAAGGTGATCATTTTTGTAATAGATAATTTATATGATAATCATAAAGAAGGTGGAATACCATGTAAAAGATTGTGTAAAATCTTTTATAAGTATCAAAAAATGTACATGAAGCTACGCCAGAAATCATTTACTAATTCAGATTTAATAGAATTAGAGGTAAATATTAGCAATTAATTTTAAATTGAAATCTTTAAATTTTATTTATAATTTTTTTTGAATAATTTTATTAGATATTAATAAATAAATTCTGCAAAGAATTTGTAACAGTATTTTCTGAATATTCTCAAAGCCAATGCAAAATACCTAAACTTCATGTACTTCGGTATTACATAATTCCATTCATTAAGCTTTATGGTTCAACAAATGGAATATCCACAAAGACGTATAAAACTTTATATAAAAAGAATGTTAAAATTCCATATCGGATGACAAACAAAAAAAATTATATTTCACAAATGCTAAATACGGTATATTATAATCTGTTTATATTGTTTATCAATATTTAACTATTATATCTATTATAATTTTGAACTCAATATATCATAATAATAGGTACAACGCCAATATTTAGCAAAAAAACAAAAATTAACAAAAACACGAAGATCAAGTGGATTTCAGAATCTTTTGTGGACATATAAAATTACTGAAATTAATATGGCAGTTTCTCAAATAAAACAAGATGATAATATACATCATTTATACAAAGAAGGTTTTGATAATCTTCTTAATGGATTTGATGAATTTATAATGGAAAATGATGTGATTTATAACAATGAATTTGGATATTTTAAAATATATTCAACTGTAGCTATTGAATCAACTGATATCATTCGAACAACAGAAAGTTTCTATGGGAATGATTGGTTTAGTGATATAGTAGTATTTTCTTCTGAAAAAACTGAAAAAACTGAAAAAACTAGTATGTGGTATGGAAAGGTATATTTTGATCTTTATCTTCATAAACTTATCCTTTTTCACAAGTTCAGTTATCTAACATTATTAACTTAATTTTAGGCACTTTTATTATTAGAATTCTTTCCACAAGATTTATCAGAACCAATAAATCTTGTTTTAGTGCGATGGTATAATGAAATAGATGAAGTATATGGATGCCCAAGATTACAGCTAACTGATCAATATACATGCATTTATCTAGATTCAGTAGATATGTCAGTCCATATTGTACCGAGAAATAATTGTGAAGATGAGTATTTTGTTAATAGATATGTTTTTTAAAAAATCAATATTAATGAACCAGAACCAAGATTAAACAATATAAATAATTAGTATTAATCTTGGTGGAATAATTATCAATACTTATTAAATTATTAGTGTTTATCATATTGGTAATTATTAATATCGTAGTTTATCAAAAATTATTGTATATGTTCTATGTAAGCACTGGACATTTTTCATGTATGTTATTGATCACTTTATAATAGTGATACACAAATTTTGGTCACTTTATAATTAGTGATATACAAAATTTTGATCACATTATTATAAAATAATAAATAAGATACGCGAAAAAGGTCTCAGTTGCTTTACGTCATACATATCCAATAACTTTATTATCAGTCATGTTTATGATAACTGATTTACACTAGGATGCTACTCTATCATGTGGCCTTCGGCCATATGATATACATAGCAATACTAGTGGTAAATCAGTTATCATCTACAACATGACCGATAACAATTACTTATCATATAGTTAACTTATGGAATTTTTTCGTTATATATAAATTATCATTAATTAACATGTGGATTTTTTTCAATGATCATTTAAACCGTAATTTAACAATAGTTAACTTATGGAATTTTTTCGTTATATATCTATATCATAAATTATCATTAATTAACATTTGAATTTTTTTTGATGATCATTTAAACCATAATTTATCAATAGTTAATTTATGAAATTTTTTCATTATATATCCATATCATAAATTATCATCAATTAACATGTGGATTTTTTTTGTTAAGCATCAATATCGTTAATTATTAGCAATTAACCTAGTGATAATTATTGGTAATTATCAAATTTGTTAACCATCGTTATATTTCTTGTGATAAAATGTGATAAATACCGATAGGGTGATGAACATCGATGTTTATCCCCTGAAAAATTTTCCCGATGAAGTTTTGAAATGGATTATGCACAGTAGCCAGCATCAATCCAAAAAAATTATTAAAGCACACATAAAACGCTCACTCGTAAATGCATTAAAAAAATAAAGCCCGGTGTGAATAAACTTTATTAATATCTATTGTAAATTATTTACAGTGAAAAAACTTATAACGTAGTGAATTCTTTAATCAATTCAAGGATATATATTTATTTCCTACATGGCTTCTTTCGAGGTTTGCGAGGTGTCGTGAATGTTGCAGGAAATTTGTTTTTGACTACTTTTTTGTGGTTTACCAATCCAACCTTTTTTAAATCTAGTGGAATATTTTGCGCCAACCTCATAGTTCTTTGAATTCTAGACTGATAAGATATGCAGAATTAGTTTGAGCCCAATCGCAAGTAAATTGGAAAAAAAATACAAACCTTGAACATCCAAACATCGCTGATCAATTCTAATGCCAATGCGAACAACTCGACATTCTCTGGCATTTCAAAGATATTACCCTTGGTAAGGCAAGGCGCATAATATATCCATCCGGATTGTCCAATGACATTAACATCATAACGCGTCCTATATAAATAATATTTAATAACAGAAGGAACAGAGAAAATTTATCTTGCGTACCTCCATGTATGTACCCAACAGTTTCTAGATTCTGAATTATATCAGCTCGCCATTTCACCCGATCGCAGAGCGCAGTAAACATATCGCGAAGGATTTTTGGCAGTTTCAATCCACTCTCAACAAGCCATTTAGTTCTCATCTTGCTATTATAGAACCTCCCTACTTCTGAACTTCCGAATTCCAGTGCCTGACCATTATTATTCTTTCTGATGATCGCATCAGAACGTCGTCCAAGTGCTTTCTTTCCGTACGCTTACGTTTTCGGTTTTTTCTGTCACTGCTCGCAATACTGCAGGACTCTCCTCTATATTGATGACAACATATGATTAATATAACGTAAAGATGACATAAAGTCGTGAAGCTATTACCTGACAATATCTACTCCTGTTATGTCCCCGAAAGTCTTGTCAACAATAGGGCCCAGAGATTGATGTTATACCAGTTTTCGAGATGATCGATGCCGAGTGCATTTGGTTGTCTTTCGTAAAGAAGAACCCTACCAGATGCACTAAGCTCAGTAACAATGCATAATTATTTCTCACGCATTAACAATACTTACAGACTATGAATAGCATAAATTATTACGTCGGTTGAAAAGTCCTTTTGAATGGTATATTCGGAACCTTGGCGCATTGAAAACTGCGCCATCACCTCACGAATATCATGCACGTTTGTCTGTGAGGAAGATAAGGGTCAGTTAATTGGACAATAAGGTGCTTTTTAAGTGTTTTTTAAGCGATAGACAGCACCTTATTAAACGCGTTAAGGCAAGTTATCACATCTTCTTCAGGTTCTGGATTGCATTTGATGTTTTTAGATTTAATATCTTCTCTTTCTTCGGTTGTAAAAAGCTCATAATTTGACGGTCTTCCAAGTCGATGATGAACGAGTGTGACAAGCTATTTCCTAGACGTTATTTATAGATCACACAAGAATGAAAGAACTTGCAACAAAATTATAACTTACTCTTCAAACTGACACGAACAGCCAAATTCATAAATAACGTCTTCCACATATCGTCCAGACTTGAGTCTCCATTTCAGCGTTTCGTCCATATTCTCATACATCTTTTTATATTCCGTTTTCGATGCATCCGTTAGTTTCGCTCCCGTGGCTCCAGAAACATCTATGTCTGCATCCTCATCACTACCCTGCTCCTCAGAATCACAGTTCTCTTCTTCATCCTTTTCAGTTGTTTCCTCATCATATTCAGAAAGCTCTGATCTCACAAGAAACGGATTATCCTCGGGATCTCTAATTATATTATCCTCTGGCGTTCGTGGTTCAGATTTATCATTTGGTGGCGGTTGAAACTCATTTAGAGCTCGTTGATCTTTCTAGTGAAATTTTTGATGGTATTATACGCTGAAATTCGTCCCGCCACTTCATGCGACGACTATGAAGAAAAAACTCAAACATGGTTGCGTGTACCTTTTATATGGGACTTGGTTAAATCGAGACTTTGATTGTAATAAAATATAAACGAATTGACTGCGCTCAGCAGAATGCTGAAGACATAACTGAAGTGTTGTTGTGTGGTGGCAGAACAGCGGACCATTCGAAGAAGTGCGCCTACTGATCATACCATCTTTTCAACGATGCACTATGTCGCCACACAACTGTCCACTGATAGAAAAAAAGTCAACCCTTGGACACCGATAAAATATCGAAACACGACAGAAATATCCACACAGACTAAATCAGGTCGTTACGTGGTGGCAATGGGGCGGACCATTCGAAGAATGCGCCTACTGACCAAACCATCTTTGTCAATGAAGCACCTCGAGTGCAAGCATCGCCACGCAACCATTCACTGATGACACCACCCTTGATACGCCGGTCGTTACCAGACCGAAACACTGATAGTCTGTGAATGCGTAGCTGTTAATCTCTACTGATTCTGAATTGCAAAGAATAATTTCGGGTATGTTAAGGCATTGTATTAAAAATTTTTAAAAATTCTAATGATTTGTGCTTTTAGAGTTTTCAAATAAAACCTTTCCTTCATAAATTCGCGCCGGGTATTAGAAGATATTACTAATATTTTGCCTTTTGTTAAAGTTTAATTGGCTAATAAATGATGATCATCACGTGTAATAAAACCAATAGATGGTCTCATCACTCACTTATCTCATCAAAGTCAAAACGCGTATAAAGAGAACCAACGAGAAAACATGCTAGAGAATACAGATGCCGAATGTTCTTGTCCATATGCTTTCGAAGGTAGATATTTTTTTAAAACAAAAACATCGACTTTCCATATTTGCTTACTAATACTATTTTTTTTAGATATTAAAAAGTACTTTGAACTGGCCTCGAAATGTGACTCCGTTCCATCCCTTTCAGAATTTGTAAGGGAAAATACTGATCTAGTAGTTCGTTCCCATCCAGAAGTAAACGATTTTAAAAGTTTAGATGGTGTATGGAAAAAGAAGTTCACCTCAGTTGCAAAAATACTTAATATGGAGGAAAGTATCAGTGTTTTTAGTTTTTCCGCATTTATGGCATCCCAGTCAGGTTTCGCCCTGGTACTGTGGGTAGTTAGGTGTCGCCCTCAGCCCCATCATTGCGATAATTGCAATTTCCTTTAACTTCATTGATGAATTACTGGTTACTTAGTTTACTAGAGAAACTTATACTAATTATTTTTAAATTCTAAATATATAAATTAATGTTGACACGCCCGATTGGAATAATATTATTGAAAAGAGATATAAGGTATGTTACAAGAATACTTTAGCGGTTGCTTTTATCAATTCTTAATGATTAACATGACCAATATATGACAGGAACGTATCACAGTCCGACGTCGTGAAAAAACTTTCACTATGTACGAACAAGAACATGAAATTATTGGGAGTCAATTATTCAAAGACCAGGAAAACTATCTCGAAAATTATGAACCCAATAATCTACAGGATGACGAATCAACAACAGCCAAGAGGAATGAAGAGAACCACAACAAGCATGTTATAGCTAGTGGTACGTTACAAATAAATTGTTTGTGCTACACTTTCGCTACATTGCTGACACAATTATTCGAATTAACTCAGATTCGGATGATGATTTTCAAAAAGTGGCGGAATCGATGGTTGGAAGTGTAGAAAGAGCTCCGTTGATGATAGAAGATATTGACATAGAGAAAACTTTCATAGATTATCGTGATCAATGCGAAAACATTTTTGAGTGAGTAGGATCGGCTCCCGTAATTGATATGGACCCAAAACAATAATCTTATCTATTATTTATTGGCTTTTATTAGTCTATGTCATAGCGATATTATGGACATGCGACCTACGTCACGCTTCACAAATGAAATTGCAGAAGAAGCTTGGACCAAATTTGTTCTAAATACATATCCCGAATATAATCTACCTAAAAATTGGGAAAATTTTGTACAAGAATTCTTTAAGGTATGTTATGAAATCTGGGAGTGGTAAAATGTTTTTGGTTTGATTATCTTCTCATTTTATCTGGTAATAACAAAAAAAAAAGTCAAAGGATAGTCTAAAAGAATGGAAAACTGCTTGGCGTGGACTTTATAAAAGCGAATTCAATGAAACCGACCAAGAACTGGTAGATGTGATCCATAATATTCTTGGACCATAGTATGTTTTTCTTTGTGATCCTTTTTATCCACTTGCATGTTATAATTGTTATTATGATTTTTATTTTTAGCATTGAAGCTTTTGAGGCGCCTACTAAAATCAGGTGACCTCGAAGAAAACCAATAACTCCCCCAGCGTAACCATCAAAAAAAAGCTCGGGCACGTGATTCATGTGATTTGACTGTGGCTAAGTGTGGCTATTGAAATTGCACTACGCAGCTATTGCAACTTAACCCTAACTAACTCCAAAGGTAAAAGTTTCAGCCTAAACTAACCTAACTAACCTTCCTTACCTAATCCACGTCTACGTTATCTTCAAGAATAGATCAACTTTCCTTACCCTAACCCTAAGAAACTCCAACATCTACGTTATCTTCAAGGAGATGTAAATTTTATAGATGTTAATTCATAAGAGTAAAACAAAATCTTTTAAATTAATGAAATTTGAGTAATTATTTTATTAAAATAGAATGTAATATTAATTTAACAATAAAATTTATTCAATTTCAATTTATTAAAATACATTAATTTAAAATAAATCATTGTAAATAATGAGTGTTATCAGTTTGCCCCTTCCATGTTAATGGCATGGTTCACTTATTTGATAATGTTCAACGTCTTCACCTAATTTATTAATAGGACTATATGACTTCCTTACTATAGACTAGTTTTGCTCTTTTAGAAGAGAAGGTTGCATTAATTAGGCTGTCAAAATAACAGTTGCAATTTAGTTTGTTGAACTAGTATTATTGCTTACTTGGTATTTCTACAGGTTTCATATTTTCTGCGAGTTTTGTATTAAAAGATTTATATATATTGTAAAGAAAATAAGCCAACTTTTTATTTTTTAAAAAAAATTGTATTCTTGGTATTTGGTAATGTAGACGGGAAAAGAAAGCTTAAATAATAGCTTAAATAATACTTAAATAGATCAGTTGCCACGATTTCCCCTGCGTACCCTTCAAAAATGTCACGAAATTCACGTGACTTTTTTTTGTCACATCCGTCACACCCTTCCTTGTTTCCATTTTTCATAAGTATCTGAGGGACTTAGTTTTTTTCGAGTAAGTAAAAACCTATTCGTTACACCCTTATTCGTCACTGTTTATTTCACGTGTTAGTGCATAATGCCGTAATGCCGGCCGTTTCGTGACATTTTTGAAGGGTACGCAGGGGTAGTCAGTTGCCACAAACTGCGCCGTATGTAACAAAATCACATGCTCAAAATCACATGCCCGAGCTTTTTTTGATGGTGTTACTGGGGAAGATGAAAACCAATACAACGCGCAATTCATAAGTCCAATACTAAAAAATACACTTAAGGCTATCTGTAATGTTGATTGGAGGATGTAAGTATTGATTATCCATCTTGGAAAAAATTTATTGGCAGCGATTAACTTTTAATATTACACTGTTATATATATATAAGTCTTTGGGTTCCTGTTGAAAGTAGCAAGAGTCGCCGTAATGCAGATATTAACCCATTCGTTGATAAAGTATTATCATCAAAACGAGCAGATGGACTTGCCCGTTTTTGGCAAAACCGTGAAGAAATTTTTGTGTATGAACAGACAACTAGCCCAGGCGCACCGGCAATTTTTGCACAGTCACGTGATCGTTTTTTATTCATCACATTGTCACACCCCGTCCGAGTTTCACTGTTTATATAATCTTATTCGTCACCCTTATTCGTCACTGTTTATTTTCACGTGTTAGTGCATAACGCCGTAATGCGGCCCTGTGTGCAAAATTTTGCCGGTGCGGCTGGGGTAGTTGTAATCTGCGTCATATTACTGCGCCGAACGGACACGCGTGTCATTTTTGTATGTACATTCTGTCACTCACTTTTTATAAATCATGTCTCGTACTTGGAGTGCCTATTTCGAAGAAACACGTCCCGAAGATTATCGTTTTCTGGACTTTTATGAGTATCGATTACAACAATCCGACTTCACCTTTTCTTTTCGTAAAGAATCTGACAAGCTGAAAAAGGATCTCAGTATTTTGATAAATGGCCCGGACAAAATGAAGGAGGGTGCTAGTATACTTAACGGAAGATTTAAGGTGAAGTTTTTCTATCATCGTTTTTTGCATGGCTTTATGGCAGAGGAAGGCTTCTACAGCTATGGTGGGCACCTGCTAGCTGTCCACCTTACGGTCTGATTGCCCGCTGTAGAAAAAGGAAAACCCCCACAACTACGGTGGACACCTGCTTGCTGTCTACTTTATGGTCTGCTTGCCCGTTGTGCGTGCCTGTCTCTACCCATGCCTCTAGTCATTCCTATTTATACTATACTAATTTTATGTAAGTTATAGGGGCATAGGGAATATTTTAGTGACGTTGATGCGTTTTGGAAGGAAATTGAATTACACGAGGAATTGTATGAAATTGAGGTTTTTATTAACTAATTTTTCTGAATTATCTAATCAAACTTATGCCTGTATTGACTGTATTTTTTTCATGATGACAGGAAGAAGCTTCTAAATCAATAATGTATGGCACCAAAAAAGTTGTCGATACTGCCATCGAAAATGCTTGTTCTACCATTGCGAACGTCAATACTAGACTGGTATGAATAGTTGCAATCATGAAATTAGTAGAAGAAAATGGCAATTGTTTACCCTTATATATTATTTTATAGACGAACCCAAGAAAACGCGTAAATAACGTCACAGTCCCCGAAGGCAACAAAAAAGTCGGTATGAAAATCGCAAGTGCCATTTAACCATGAAATATCTTCTCACCTTTTCATATCTTGCCAATAGATTAAAGGTCCCTCCATATTTGACACATCATCGTCTATCGATGAAGAGAGTGAAGCTGACATAAAACAAAATGTTAATATGAACGAGAAAGATCGAGAAGATGGACACCAACCAAGAGGTACTATGTTTATAGTATATTGCCAAATACTACAATTTCGCTACATTACTGACACAATAATTAACTCAGACTCGGAGAATGGTTTGGCCAGGGAAGCATCGGAATCAATGGTTGGGAGAATAGAAAAGAGTCAAAGGGCCCCATTGATAGTGGACGACATTGATCTGGAGGAAATTTTTAAAGATTACTGTGATGAATGCGGAAACAACTTTGAGTGAGTAAGATCATTTCTTGTGACTCGAAATAGTAGTCTTACTTATCATCAATAATGGCTATTAGTTTATGTCGTAGCGACATCATGGATATGAGACCAACTTCAAGCTTCACGGATAGAATTGCGGAAGAATATTGGGATAAATTCGTACTAGACACATATCCGAAACATAAAATATCTGAGGAATGGGAAAAATTCATACAAGAATTTTTCAAGGTATGTCGCAAAAATCGTTTTTGATTGCTTATCTTCGTTACTCATTTTGTTTATTGGTGTTAAAAAACAGCCGAGAGATAGCGTAGAAGAATGGAAAAAGGCTTGGCGTGAACTTCACGAAAAGATCGACGGAAACAAAAAAGACCTAGTGGATGCCATCCGCAACATCCTTGGACCATAGTATGTTTCTTTACGATTTTATCCATTGTATGTAAAATATTATAGCATAATGATTTGGATTCTTTTAGTATCAAAGCTTTCGAAGCACCATTCAACATATTAAGGTCAGGTGACCTCAGAGAAAATCAGTATAATGCACAATTCATAGGCCCGATATTAGAGAATACAATGAATACTGTATGTAGCGTTGAATGGAGAATGTAAGTCCCGATTACACACCTGGGAAAATATTCGTTTGCTGTAATTAACTCTGCAATTAACTTTGAAATAACACTGTTATAGTCTTGAAATTCCGGTAGAAAGCAGTAAGGCTCGTCGTAATACTGGTATAAATGCAATTGTTGATAAGGTTTTAGAAGCAAAGTGCGCGGATGGACTTGCTCGTCTCTGGCAGAGCCATGAGGAAGTGTTCTTGTATGAACAGACCGGATCACCAAGTTTCGACGATATTACTCAATTTCATATTCACGATTATAAATTGATCAGAACAATGCGAGATGTGTTGAACCAGCGAATAATCTTTCGCCTTAAAAATGGAATATGTGATCACAAAGACCTCGCATGCTTCAGTGCTTTTGGTAACCGTTTTGAAGTATCGTTATTTTGGTTGACAATACACCAGAAGTCGTATTGTCTCCGAGAATATGGTACCTTCAATATCCCGTCAACTTGGCAAGAGCTTCCCGTGCTATCCGAAGCAATTATAACATGTCTCAAATTTTTTGTAAGTGCATCAAAGTTTTATTTACTTTGTTAATTGCTCTTTACTAATACTGATCTATTCTCAGTCTTTTATGAAAGAAAATATTGAAGTAAGAAATTCGTATGTTGGACAAAACCAAAAATTGTTGGCAAAGCGAAGAGTACACTCAGTAAAGCAAAACCAGTCATCACCGAGTCGACCTAATAAGCGGAAGTCAAAAAAATAAATATAAATAATTTTATCTTATCAATGCGTAATTATAGCTTGCAATGCACAATTTTACTTTAGATCTTGTACCAGTTCTGTCGTCATATAACAAATATAATAAGAAAGATACTTTGGTTGAACGTAATGAGTTTAAAATTTACAATATTAAGTAAATATTATGTATAACTTTGAAAAAAAAACAATAAAGGTACTGCTTTATATATTTTCTGTATGTATGCCTGTCAATGTAAGGCGACTGTGATACGAATGGACTACTACGCTATATTTCCATATACCGGGAGTACGTATATATTTTTTTTATACTTCGTAAGCGAACGTTTCACAGCATAAAGATCCATAATTCTTTGTTGTGTTACAAATTTTGAAACGTGATTTTTTATGTTTCGAGCCTATTGATCCAATTTTAAGTGTATGTCCCAACCTAATCTAATTGCGAGAGGATCATCAGTTGCCTTAGTAAAATCGAAGACCACAAAATTTCGATCTCGCAAATGTTTGTCGATTATCTTGGATGCTTTTTTTGGATCATCCGTATATTGACGTACAATTCTGCATATATCTTCACGGCTCCCTGAGCCTCGAAATAAAGCTAAGTGTGAAATATTCTCACGAATAATTTTAGGAGTTTGTGTATATTTCTGGCTCACATATATGCTTGATACACCTTGATGTCGGCCACTAATAAAATATGGAACAATCCGATCCTGAATTTTCTTTGATTCAGCACAAAGATCTTCGAAGACAACAACTGTATTCTTATCTGGGGAAAATTTAGTTACGTCTGGAATTGCATTTACTTTTAATGCACGAAATGTCACGTTCTCCCGATATGTTTTTGGACCCTTCGAAAAAATTTCGTACCAGTTTTTCACTAATACCCATGGATATGCTTTCCGATTAAGACTAGATCATCATTTTTGACATACAGATTCCACTCCAGATGAAAAAATCACGTGTGTGTGAACAATTGTTCACTTCAATTTACTACGCATCAGATTTACTTTATTAATATTATACATACTTTACATTGTTTTTCAAAGCTATGTAAGCTACATTCTACAACTATGCATTAAAGATTATTTGTAAGCCGAGTTAAATCTATTGTATAAAGTATTTTTCTAGCCTAGTTCACCAATATGTATTATTCATTTTGAATTCTTCTGCTTTTTAGATCAATTTGGTGTTTGTGGGTTTTGCTTTAATGTATGAACTCCTCATTTGGCCAGTAGCTTATGTTTTTGTTCAATACATGGTTTTTTCTTTTCAATGTTTTCTTTCATGAAAGTCTAAATGCAAACAAGTATTAACGAATAAGTGAATAGAACTATGCAATAAGGTTTGTTATACTTACAAAAAATTTGAGACATGTTACAATTGCTTCAGACAGAACAGTTAAATCCTGCCACACCGCAGGAACCTTGAAACTTCCATATTCACGTAAGCAATAGACACTTATGTGCATTGTGCACCAAAATAATGAAACTTCAGTGCGATGTCCAAAAGCACCAAAGCTTGCAAGTTCTTTCTGATCATGTGTTCCATCCTTAAAGTGAAGGACTATTCATTGGTTTAGTATGTCTCGCATTGCCCTAATCAGCTTATAATTATGGACATAAAATTCAGTAAGATCATCAAAATCGGGGGTCCTGTCTGTTCATAACTACCCCAGCCACACCGGCAAAATTTTGCACACAGGGGCGCATTACGGCGTTATGCACTAACACGTGAAAATAAACAGTGACGAATAAGGGTGACGAATAAGATTATATAAACAGTGAAACTCAAACAGGGTGTGACAATATGATGAATAAAAAATGATCACGTGACTGTGCAAAAATTGCCAGTGCGCCTGGGCTAGTTGCAGATTACCTCTACTATACATGCCACCCAAATTATTTTGGACTGCCGTAATTATAAGTAAAATCCCAAATTCAATTATGGCATCCCAAATTATTTTGGCACTTTACATAGTAAATTATATATAAACTGAATGAATTATAACATCCCAAATTATAATTATGGCATCCCAAAATAATTTGGGCAGCATGTATAACCCCTACAAAAATGTCATGAAACAGCCGATTATGATATTATGCACTAATGCACTAACACGTGAAAATAAACAGTGACAAATAAGGGTATGACGAATACGTTTTTACTTACTCTGCCAGATACTTATGAAAAATGGAAACAAGAAAGAGTGTAGCAGCATAGCGGACATGCTCATATCACCTTGCTGATTATTTGCCGATCACTAATTCTGGATTTTAAAAACTTATTGCAAAATCACAAATTATGTGGCAAAAAAATAATGGAAATCTAAATAAAAACACTAAATTATCATATGACTTTAATTATGTAATTATTAACACAATTTTTAATAATATCATAAATCACTAGTCGAAATAAGAAATTTCAGACATGTGACTTTCGGCTAAGTTTTGAAATAAATTTCAGCCAAAATTCATCTGAATTTAATTTCGGCTTAATTTCGACTCACATGATTTCCGAAGTTTTTTTCCGAAGTTCTTCCGAAGTTCTTCTGATGTTCTGATTTTCTGAAGTTCCGATCATTATATAAAACTCAGTTTCTGAAATTTATTATGAACAAGTGACACTTATGTAAAACTTAAAAAAAAGAATTTATGTAAAATCCAATAAAAAGAAACAACTTCCGTCAAATTTCGACTAACAAAACTGAAGATTTATTATTATTATTTTTAACGAATGTTAAATTTTCTATTAACAGGATTTATGGCCAAATATTCTCTCGCATTTTTCCTATCCAAAATTTTATATTTTATTAGCACAAATCTACTGAGAATATTATGCACTGGAATTATGCAATCTCGACCTTCAGGGTAAAATTCAGTACCCTAAAGTTCGACATTGCAAATTTCATCATCTTCAATACTGAAATAATAACGAGAATTCACTGGTTAATACTATCGAATGAATGCCAAATTATGTTCCAATTCTCCATCCAGTAAGTCAACCTTGTGGGAAAAAAAGAATTGAACTTGTCTGGGATAACAATCGACGCTACCGTCTTGTGTTATAAATTTGGCTAAAACATACGAGTTCTTTACGTGTCGAGCTGACATATTTGACCTAAATGTCTCTAAACTGATTCTACATCTACCGAACTGTTTCATTTTGACGGAAATGATCCTTGAATTCTCGTGGCCTTCTCTGAATGGCTTTTGAAACTCAAGTATTTCATAAGTCGCCAAATAGTATTCGACCAGTAAATCAAGCATTGAATTTGACATTACTACATTTTCAGAGGCGGGACCCAACATTTTACCTGGAAACGACTCGCTTTCAGTGACTATTGATTGTTGAATATTCCGCAAATTCAACCAAAATCGTTCCATTTCATCAGCTGAAAATTTGTCAGCCTCTGCCAAGGATGCAACAAAAGCTCAGTTATTGAGAAGTTCTAGTCCCTTTACATTTTCTCCAGAATTTATAATACTATCAATGTGGATATCAGCCATCATTCGTCGCATAATTTCTGGTTCTATTTTCCTATGGCTGTTCGGTAAGGCGCCTAAAATTTAAAATTACGATTATGCATAAATTAAGAATAAGAATATTAAACCTAAATAAATAGTTATAGTTTACCTAATACACCGTTCATGCGTTCAAAGGAGAAACACCAGAATGCGTATAAAAGTTCAAAATCATACATACATTCACTCAAATGAAGTGAAAGATGGAGATTAGGAGTAATTTTATCTCGTCCATAATGTTCCTCAATCAACTTCACAATTTCAATCAATCTCTCATGCGATTCTCTCACAGCATTTGACTTACGAAAGCTGTACAAACTCTCACAAAATGATGGAGAATTTTCTGATCATGTACCGAAAGGTGACTCCATAGTGATACCGTAGCGTAAATTGTGAAAAAGATTCGCTATTGATCTGCTGTAAAATTTGAAAATCCTTCTCTGCAATAGATTTTCCCAGAGATTCATCCCAAATCAGATGGAATCTGAAACTCATCCATTTTTTTTGAATTTTTATAAACAATTGTTAGTTCAAAATTCCTTCATCAACCCAAATTCTTTTCACTATCTATCTCGCGATGCCTAGAAATAAGCAGTGTATTGGATCGACAACAATAAACATTATAGGGTCGAAGTATGACAACCGCAATAATTCTGACCATCTAATTCCAGTATCTTTCATAAAATGTTTTCGTGAAGCATTAGAGCTACAACGTTGCCATTCATGTGCATTTTCACGAAACTTGGCCAAATCTCGAGTAACAAACTATTCATCTATATTGTCCATCCCAGCGAAATTATTTTGTCAATTCTCATAATTTGCTCGTTTTTTGCACTGGTGACATGATGCAAGCACTGAAATATGCCCGCATATCTTCCTTGCCACAGGAACATCACACGAAACTAGTACTAAAGCTGCACGAATATTTTTTCCGTTTTGGCACTCAAATGTTTAATTAAGAGTTATTCCACTCCATAGTAATTCTAAATCATTGACAATTGGTGCTAAATAGTGATTGATTTGGTGTAGGCTTACTTTATTAAGACCTGGTAATATTCCGAGAATTAATAAGTTTTCTCTTTTAAATCAAATATTCTGAGGCAAGTTGCAAATGGCGACATATATCACACCGGTGCTGTGAATTGTCCCTTCATAGGGTTGGAACCAATCCACATTCAGCATTAGACCGAGATGTGAATCTGCAACTTTAGGCCAGAAAAATTAGGCGAATCATGATAAGAAGTATCCTTAAATGTTTTCCACACTTGACCATCGTAAATATCGGTCAATATATTTTCAGAATGTGATCAATCGGACCAATGTCTGAGTGACCTTTCGAATCCTGATCAAAGATATAGGGTTGCTAATTGTTGACGAATTGTAGAAAATGGATAAATCATCTCAATTCAATTTGACACTTTATTTAATAATCTTATTTGATGAGATAAAGGAGTTTGGCACTTCTGGCGTCTCGATGAATTTGGAAATTCGATATGTTGACATTTCATAATGGCAAGAATTTCATCTTGACGAAACTCCTCTACTTCTTGTTTGTTGTATAATTTGTGACACTTCGTACATGCTGTAAAGCAATGAAATCGATCTTCTATGTTGAGAATATTTCTCGCTTTGTATAAAGTGATGGGAAAATTTTCAAATGCGGTATCACCAATTTCATCCAATAACAGTTTTATGAACTTTATTAGTGATTCAGTTGCTGTTTCTGGAATGTTAATTCTCATTCGAAATTTCATAATCCATATTAAAATCCATAAAAACTTATTATCATCGTTAGTTGGTGTTGGAGTGACATCTGGGTCTTGATATGGTTCGAAAGAAGGGCATGAATAATCTTCAAAAGTTTCAGAATTGTTATTTTCCGATTCGTCATCTCAATTCGATTCGTCATCTCAATTTGATTCATTATCTCAATTTGATTCATTATCTCAATTCGATTCATTATCTCCATTCGATTCGTTATCTTCATTAGTGTCTTCGCTTTGATCTTCAGCCGTACTTTCTCTCAGTGATAAATCTTGTTCGATATTACTGATGTTACCAATGGAAACTCTGGTCGAAATGTACCTCGATCTACGTCTTCGAGGCAATCGGTCAACTCTTTGCTCATTTAAAATAGTCAATTGAGATGATTCATCATTAATATTTTCAGTATTTTCCAAAACTTCAGATGGTTCATTATCCCGAATTTCAGTATTTTCCAAAACTTCAGATAGTTCGTTATCCCAAATTTCAGTATTTTCAATAATTACTTCTGAAACATCTGAAGAAAGTTGGCTCGATAATTCATGTCAATTCTTTGTGCGAGGAGCAACTAACATTCCTTCGCAATCGCTACAAAAACAGGGTACTTTACGAATTTTTGGCTAAACGATTGATCGAGTAGTAACTCGAGGTGATCTGGTAGTAATAGGATTTTCATCAAGTACACTAGATATCGTTCTTTTTCGTCCCATTTTGTCAAAAATTTCAGATAATTTTGATAATTATGGAATTGTATCGAAATTTGTTTCGATTCAATATTTATCATATAATTGTTGCTAGTGAAGTTTCGATTAACAAATTTTCAACTTGAGCGATCAACTTAAAAGTGATTTATCGAATTCTCATCAAACTTTACGAATTTTCCATCAACTTTAAGTGATGTATTGAATTCTCATCAAACTTTACGAATTTTCCATCAACTTTAAGTGATGTATTGAATTCTCATCAAACTTTACGAATTTTCCATCAACTTTAAGT